ATACAGCAGCTGACCATGACTTGGACTTGTTGTACAGCAGAACGTAGAAGAATTGATATGCTGATGCAAACAATTGTCAAGTTTCATTTTCGGCCTGTCTTCTGTATTAGTCTGATCCTTTGTTCACGAGACAGCTTCATTTCCTTATCTTATCTTCAACAACTTCTTCTATGTCCTTTTCAGTATTCGTAAGACCGCTTCCTCTTATCAGTTCCTTCACGTCGACCCCTGCAGCGCGTTCATTTCCACTGCTGTCAGTATTTCGAACACCTGCTCAATTCTTCAACTTCCTGTCATCAGCAACCATCATAAGCTTCATCATCTTCACACAGCTTTCTTTAGCTCATCCTCTTTCTTCATATCGACCCCTGCAGCACGCTCATTTCCACTGCTGCCAGTATTTCGAACGCCTGCTCTATTCTTCAACTTCTTCCTCTTCTCCATACGATTGACTTTCAATTCATCAACTTCGGGTTCGGCCATTTGTAGCGAGGTAAAAGAAGAGAGGGGCGTGGTAAACACTGCTGCATCGTTGCGGTTCATCAAACACCGCGATCCTCTGTCGTTCAGCTGGTTGTAGAAGAACAGAGCTATTTGCTGCTGGAAAGAACTCGATAGTAGAGCTTGTAGAACAGGGGAGCTTGAGAGTCGTTGAAGAGATCCCGAGATAGATCTAGTGAGAGATCCAGATAGTGATGAGATCCTGAGATAGATGTAGATCCAGATGGTGATGATGAGATCCACCTGAGAAAGATGTGATCCACCTGATAGGGATCTCGAGTGACGTCCACCTGGGAGAGATGTAGATCCAGATCCACCTTGCGTACAAATACATCTGATGGAAGATGCTTTTAATTTAGAGGCTTGATGATTCTGTTCATTGTATAGACCATGATGCACGAGATGCTTCTTCACTGCTCGGATTAGGGATAGAGGGATCCGATCAGCTGGGTTTGCGGCACAGTTGGGCGGGTGAAGGACAGGGCATTCGAAGTCCCGATGACCACTGCCAAACTTATGGGTGGTAATTACATTGATTAATGGAATGTGATCATTCGTCCAGTCACCCATTCCTAAATCACTGGCCTCCCCACTAAGAAAAATTGCCCACTTAATTCGTATTAGCGTTGCTAGTTTCAGTTGCCCTCGAGAATCATTTGTTCGACTGCCGTAACCGAATTCTACCAAATTCCTATCGGCCTTACTCTAAGATTCATACGTCACCATTCTCACATCCTTGCTCGCATTACGTTCACATTTCATGTGTTCACCCAAATTTAATTGGTAGCCCCCGAAATTCCCTCCGATAGCGTTAGGCGTCTTACAAACCATGGTCTCCCCGGCGAGATAAATGTCTCTTTCCGAAATCCATATGCATGCTCCGCTAACCGGCGACAAAGATACTTATCGCAGGGCCGTCCAGAATTATTATAGGTACACAAATATCCACCCTACTAATTTATGGGATTCACTACACGTCCGATAGACTTATGGTACACACATACACGATTTATATCCGACTTATCTCTCTACCGGGAGAGATTACCTATGCCCTCTTCCGGTCCGCGTGTAACATTCCCGTTCACGACCCAGGGACCACCGTTCTTATCCTGGAACTCTCCTCAGGAACTCTCCTTAAACCATGGGATTTACTCTTCAAGGCCTTACGTGTCCTGGAGTACATTCTTCCCTCCCCTGAGGCTGTCCAGTACCGATTAAGGTACCTTTACAAAATAAGTATGAGGACTTATTCGGGACACTACGGCTCGCCTTATCCGCACTTTTGGGTGACTCATCCCTGACCCTCGGCTTCTTGCCTTTGGCATAACTTACTCTCCACTGCACACTGTGCCAATCTTCCCCTTCCCCCTGCCGTAGAAACCTCTCACTGCCTTCTCACCCAGTGTTACCTAAGCGGGAAAACTAACAGTGGCCGGTACCACTGGCGGAAAACGTGCATATGCCCTGCGTACGTGACGGTGTGTCCCTCTTATTATTCCGGTCTGGACTTGGGTTTAGAGAAGTGCATCTGTGTCTCATACAGTCATGCTGGTAAACGTTACGCCATAGGAGGCGGGCAAACAAGCCGTCTGTGCCTCAAAATGCCCTGTGCCAATATTGGTGGAGTAATTATTGGCGCTAACTCGCAAGAACGCGAATAACAGAAACGCATAATTTATCCGAACCTAATCGTAATCTCAAGTCCTAATTGCTGCTGCACGCGTGAACCTTATCATCAGTTCTCGTATACAATCCTAGCAGACCTTGAACCGCTCTTGATTTAATCAGACATATGATCTAGAACCAATTAACACGCATCGATCTGCCGTCTGGTTGTGATCCACCGTATCATAGTGAATTACTGAATGCTCAAACGGAAATGCCCCCTTGAAACTCGTTCGATAGCTTCTGATGGGCTACTAGTTACCTAAACAAATTATCTATATAGAGTGCCAGAATATTGTCATAGGGTCCCTAGCCTTTCATAGGGAATCTAATTTAAATCATCCTATTAGCAGTAAACAATGCGCATCAAACGAAGTGCAGTCCTAGATATCATATAGCATGTCATATTTAACTGTCTACGTTCTTATCCCGTTGCAACTTTCCGCAACTAACTAGGCTCCTATACGTGACCTTCACCTACCGCACGCGCCCCAATTACGGCTAACCCACTGCCCCTGTTGTGGCTGCTTTTCGCGCCCTCTGGCGGCTCAACGCCCGCGTCGGGAACGACGATTACGACGGCCGCCGGCCGGCGCCGCGTCGACACCGTCAGTCAGTCACGCCGCTATGGGCGCGCCAACACTCGCGGTACAGTGCTCGTGCGTGTTGTCTCTTCTGGCCGGGTAGATTCACCGGATGTGTCAGTGAGTGTGAATCTGGTAAAATATCGCTGCAATATCTCCCTGTTCGACATCTTATCAGCTCCATTCCACGTAAGTTTTTTTTTTGATTAAATTCCTGTCCCCTTTAATCGTTCCCCAACAAAGGTGGTCCTTTCTAGTATTTATTCTACAAAAGCACAACGATCGGTACCTATATTAGTCGCATATTAGTTCTAACCACAAACAATTCTACATCTACCTGTTACTCGACATTTCGCAATTTCAATGACGCAAAGTGACCATCTAAAGTCGCAAAGTGTCAAACCGTCAACCTCAAACCACTGCTCGCAACTCTGCACGTAAGTAACAGAAGAAATTCCGCCGTAAGCTCAAGCATTCGTATCTGTCGAAAATCATAACTCATAGCCATATTCATAGATCGATCGCATGAATCAGTCGCCGCCTTAAAACATTACATTCCTTTTCAACCGTATTTACCTGTTCTATAATTGATTTCGACTTCGCAATTAATTCCTACAGCAATATTACCAATGATTTCGCAATGCAACTTTTAGTGAGCACAGCACGAATCTAAACCCTTAATTTCACAAACGTTCCAACCTCAAAACGCACCTGGCCATCGCCCATAATAAATCGAACGAACCAGCTTGACCGAAGACAAAGACATTTCAACGCTGTCACACATCCGGTCATCAATCTCAACGTTCGTGACCATGAGCTGCTTATTCAAATTTTAGCCTCTCGCTCTGGGCCTAATCGTGAACTCCAACTGACAATAACGGTTTGCTGGCGACTCTGACATGACTTCGAAATTCAGATCCTAATATGCTACTAGGGTGTCTGGACCAATAAGTTCAAAGTAATTTAAGTTTTCCAATTCCAATTGAGAGTGCATTTTATGGCAACCGAAAATGTTTGGCAGTCGTCACGGCACGGCAGGCTGGGCAGGGGGGGGGGGGGTCAAGGATTGGGATTGAGCAGACTTTTCAACAACACTCACATTCTGGAGTTTCTCTGCGCTTCCGCTTCTCAGTGTGGTCACAAGCGTCGGCTGCTGTCCTCGGTTCTGATCACTCGAACTGAAGAGGCTTCTCGCGGGTGACCCCGGACTGACGGCGGCTCCCAGATGGCGTCTCCGGCTCCAGCTGTGGACTGTGACTCTCGGCTGCTCGACTGTGATTCACCTCTGGTTGGGTGGCGCACCCTTTTATAGTTGGGGGGGGGGGTGACTGCCACGCCCTTGCGACGTCATCTTCCTCTGCCTTCCTCTTGTGGGTGGGCCCGTAAGATGGCGCCCTCTGTCCTGTTTAGTCACCTTGCTCCTCTGTGCCTGCAATTTTTGGCCGTCGAATCGTCTTCGTGTTGAGTGCTTTATCATTTTAGTAATCGCTGGCATAAAACAATCCCCGAAAGGTTTGTGATTTTCGAGTTTTTAATTTTGATTCTTCAATTTCATTTTATTAAAACTATTGTTTCCTTCCGTTTCGTCTGCCGCCAACGCCCCTGTGACGTCACTCTTGCTCCGCCCACCGTACCGGGGTGTGGCCGTAACGCAGCGCCTTCTTCCTCTGCGGAGATCTCTGGAACTACAGGTCATTGCTTGCGGCTTGTTGTTTTGCCAGGGTCACTCACCCTGGGTTGCTGTGCCCGACAAAGGAGGCTGTGTGCTCCAGCCGGCATCCATCCTTGACACTGCTCCATGATCTGTTGACATATCTTACTGATCCAGCGCTCCCAGCCGTTATCTGTCCTCTGCGTGGGTCCATGAGCTGTTGACAATGTTACTGATCCAGCTGTTACTTGTTGGGGTTCGAATCGTTCATCCTGCGGTAGCTGTCTCCAAAAGCGCGCGTCTTAATGGGAGTTTAACGGCTGCCCATTCTGTGCGGACAGTGATAGATTAGGGGAACTGGGGGGGGGGGGGGGGATTGGGTGTGGGAAAGCGAGGCTAGGCGTGTGGCCGGACTGCGAGGGAGAGGGACTGCCGGACCGAGCCGTGCCGAAAAGATACTACGTTAAATGTTCAAGATGTAGCGTGCTACAGTTGATCCGGTCCATATTCATTTCGGAGATGCCACTTGATACTTTTAGGATCATGAAATCCCCGTAAATTCCTTACTGTGACCTAACTCACAGATTTCACCTTTTCAGAACAATGTTTTTGGTGATTTTATTCAGCCAGTATCTACGAGACGTGAAGATACCCTTTCCATATTGCACAAGGAAAAGTAAAGGAGTGATTCGTGTTCCCATTTTCAAGCTTCTACCGGTGAGCTGCTATGATTTCACTCTTTAACCCTCGCCGGCACAGGGAGGTTGATGAACAAAGGAAAGGGGACCCTGCCGGGAGGAAAACCTAAGCGGGGGGTTAACCGCCCCCCCCTAATGTTTTTCGCAAATAACTCGCGTAAAAAGGGATCGATCGCAACGAAAGTTGCAGTATCTTCACGTTCATTAATTCTACACCTACCCTAAGAGTTTCATGACTCTGACCCAAATGACCTTTGACCTGTGACCTACTTTTCGAGACCATGTTTAGCTGGAATAGCGATTCAGCGTATGTCGGCTCGCATTAGCCGCGTTTTTGCAGTTTTTTCGTGCAATAGGGTATTATTACATTAGGCATTAGGGTTTTTCAAAGCATTCAAACATGTTATTTGATGTTGTTCCCATGCATTAGGGTTAAGGTCACCTGAAGGTCAGGTCGGTTGACCTGACTTGACCTGACCCGAACTGGCCTAAATGCATAAATACATCATCTGTGATCAAAACCAACATGATATTCGTGATCAGCATCAAGAAAATCCTCATGGCAGGCACACTCTACGACGTTATAATAGGTCCCAATATCCCCGACTTTTGGGTCATTGACCTGACCTGGAAGGTCATCCGATGACCAACGACCTTAAAATTGGGTATCATCGGCTTCTTTTCGTCAGGGGCTATGCGCTCGTTTCTTTCGGCGAAGCTCTAGCTCGATTAGGGGCCAAAAGCGAGGGGGGCGTACCCTTGTGCCGTCGAAGGACGCAAAATGGCCTGTGCCGGCGAGGGCAATGGATGGCCATATGTTTTATCAAGTAGTCCAAGTCATTTGTAGCACGAGAAAACAGGTTTCATGAAAGAAAATGTCATCAAAACGGTAAACACATTACTGTTTAGTTCAAGTGCAAAAAAAAAAAAGATTAGTGTCGTCCTTACGTATTCCCTGTCTTGCATTCCCCTGTACTCTGCTTCCAGCTCCTGCTGCTCAAAGATTGTTGCTCATGTTCGTGTCAGTGATTGGTGCTCTATCCTGCTGACAGGTGCTGCTGAGTATAATGATTAGCTGGTCTCTGTGCGCCATACTGACCCACGCAGACATACTGCCGGTCGGTTCCGCGGCCAGAACAGACCACAATCTCAACGTAAGGCCTTACAGATTTAAGCCGGTGTTTATTTCTTTTTCATTTAGCAATGTAAAAATGTTCATCGCAAAGTGGATATGTCTCCTTATGTTTATTTTGTATCACTGCACTGGTGTGGTTCAGCAAACAAATGTCAAAACTCGCACATACGATCTTGCGTTTTGCACCAAGGAAAGCATTCTACTCTGTATGCCCCGTTTTTTCCTGTTCAGCATTCAATGCTGTCTTGCACTTCCTGCAGTCCCGTCCTGACCTACCTCCTGTATGTATGTACCAGGCGCTGAGCGAGGCAGTTTGGCTGCAACTGCCGCTGATCGGACGCTGGGGCGCCCCCACCGTCCACATCGGACCCGTGCTGGGCATGACTGCCGCCGTCCTGGCCTCCATCGTCGAATCCATCGGAGACTACTACTCATGCGCCAAAATTTCCGGTGAGCACCCGTGAAAAGCTCAATGTGATTTATGTGCTTCAGACGGATTCGTTTCATGAAGTTCATTTTCTCTAATCATTTATAGAAACGATTTTTTTGTGTATACTTACGGCCAGACTTCTTTGTTCTTTTGAAATACATAATGCATATGATCCAACAACAAAACTGCCAAGGCAATACAATGAACATGTCGGTGCTCTTTGTCACATACTTTATGCAGTGGCGGATGGAATGCATGACGTGTGTGACGGTGTATAGTCACGAGACTGTACGGCTGTATTTTGAATCGTGTTTCGATTTCAGGCGCGTCGGCGCCGCCCGTACATGCTATCAATCGTGGCATCGCCATCGAGGGTCTGGGCGGCATCCTCTCGGGACTGTTTGGAGCCGCCAACGCGTCCACAAGCTACAGCGGCAACATTGGCATCATCGGCGTCACCAGGGTCAGTCAGAGCTTACATATCCTTCTCGGAGCTTATTGAGGGTAGAAAGGGAGACATAAATATTTATCTCTGGATTTTGCTCAAAATATTTCGGTCCCGAACAAAGAAGTTGAATTGATTTTTGTAACACACGTTTATTGTATATTCAGTAACATGTACATACACATTGCAACGACAATATGATGACTTTATGTGGCCACATTTGGCCTTCAACACTCAGCCTCGACACGTCCCTCTGCGGAGGGGCTCAAGCGCCGCGCAGTAAACTCGCCGAGATTTGACCGTGCCGCCTCGAGGGCCAGCCTCAGAGCGGCGATGCTGCCGTGTCGCGTTGCACGCACCTCCCTCTTCAGGATGGCCCAGGTGGCGAAGTCGATCGGCCAAGTCTATCGGGTTCAGGTCTGGACCTGATAGGTGCCAAATATTCTTGTCCCAGAAGCGAGTCATGTGGGCCGTTCACCACTGTTGTGTGATTTTGGCCGTTTTTGACGGCGCACCGTCCTTGACCTAGACGTACACTGTAAAAAAAAAAAATAGCACCACCAAGCAGCTAAATGCACTTAAGTACCATGGTAAAAAACGACCACCACCCACCGGCATATTTTAAGCAGGCTAAGAGGGTGCTATTTGAGTTGTGTATTTTTAGCACCATAAAAATCATAGCATCATGGCTCCTGTATGGGGCTAACAAGATGCTTTCTAATTAGTACCTCATATTTAAAAGATATCGACTGAAAAGGAGAGGCGCTGTTTTGCCCTCCCCCTTATAATGGGCGCGGGTTTACATCGAAACACGAGTTAGTTGAAAAGCCGCATGCACAATTTTTCCCAAATCTGTTCATAACTTTTTGACTTATTGACTCAAAACAAACAGGTAAACATTTCTGCCCTACCTTAACATCTATTGCTTGACACTTTTGAATGAAAAAACAAATGGAATCACGGAAGGTTTTGACTTTTGGTATTACGGTTCCTTCAATCAAAGTTATTTTTTAACAACCAGTGTAAATGCAGTTTTGTTTCACTGTCGTCAGGTGGGCAGCCGCCGTGTGGTGCAGTTATCCGCCGTCTACATGATCCTGTTCGGCCTGGTGGGCAAATTCGGCGCACTGTTCGTCTCGATACCGGCGGCCATTTACGGCGGCGCATTTGTCGCCCTGTTCGCTATGATTGCCGGAATTGGTACGCTGGTCAACATTCAACACACTTTATATTGTGCTCTGTCTGTCTACCTGTTCTTCCTTCTCTCTCGCTCTCGCTCTCGCTCTCTCGCTCTCTCACTCTCTCGCTCTCTCGCTCTCTCGCTCTCTCGCTCTCTCGCTCTCTCGCTCTCTCGCTCTCTCGCTCTCTCGCTCTCTCGCTCTCTCGCTCTCTCGCTCTCTCGCTCTCTCGATACCGGCGGCCATTTACGGCGGCGCATTTGTCGCCCTGTTCGCTATGATTGCCGGAATTGGTACGTTGGTCAACATTCAACACACTTTATATTGTGCTCTGTCTGTCTACCTGTTCTTCCTTCTCTCTCTCTCTCTCTCTCTCTCTCTCTCTCTCTCTCTCTCTCTCTCTCTCTCTCTCTCTCTCCTCTCTCTCTCTCTCTCTCTCTCTCTCTCTCTCTCTCTCTCTCTCTCTCTCTCTTCTCTCTCTCTCTCTCTCTCTCTCTCTCTCTCTCTCTCTCTCTCTCTCTCTCTCTCTCTCTCTCTCCTCTCTCTCTCTCTCTCTCTCTCTCTCTCTCTCTCTCTCTCTCTCTCTCTCTCTCTCTCTCTCTCTCTCTCTCTCTCTCTCTCTCTCTCTCTCTCTCTCTCTCTCTCTCTCTCTCTCCTCTCTCTCTCTCTCTCTCTCTCTCTCTCTCTCTCTCTCTCTCTCTCTCTCTCTCTCTCTCTCTCTCTCTCTCTCTCTCTCTCTCTCTCTCTCTCTCTCTCCTCTCTCTCTCTCTCTCTCTCTCTCTCTCTCTCTCTCTCTCTCTCTCTCTCTCTCTCTCTCTCTCTCTCTCTCTCTCTCTCTCTCTCTCTCTCTCTCTCTCTCTCTCTCTCTATCTCTCTCTCTCTCTCTCTCTCTCTCTCTCTCTCTCTCTCTCTCTCTCTCTCTCTCTCTCTCTCTCTCTCTCTCTCTCTCTCTCTCTCTCTCTCTCTCTCTCTCTCTCTCTCTCTCTCTCTCTCTCTCTCTCTCTCTCTCTCTCTCTCTCTCTCTCTCTCTCTCTCTCTCTCTCTCTCTCTCTCTCTCTCTCTCTCTCTCTCTCTCTCTCTCTCTCTCTCTCTCTCTCTCTCTCTCTCTCTCTCTCTCTCTCTCTCTCTCTCTCTCTCTCTCTCTCTCTCTCTCTCTCTCTCTCTCTCTCTCTCTCTCTCTCTCTCTCTCTCTCTCTCTCTCTCTCTCTCTCTCTCTCTCTCTCTCTCTCTCTCTCTCTCTCTCTCTCTCTCTCTCTCTCTCTCTCTCTCTCTCTCTCTCTCTCTCTCTCTCTCTCTCTCTCTCTCTCTCTCTCTCTCTCTCTAGCTATAACATTCCATTTCATAGCAAATTGGTGCTTGTTCTTTTCATTTTAGAAAATAGACTGGCCTTTCTATTGACATCAATGGTGGAACAATTTATTTCATATTTACCCGCGCCCTGATGGGGTCTGCCGATCAACGCGGTCTGATGGGGGGCCATTTTGGCCCCCCCCCCTCAAGATCTCGAGAACCACGCAACGTAGCGACAAGCGGTTAACGGCGTTGGATAGCCCCAGCGGGGAACTACCTTGTGACCCAATTTCATTGACCTCGGTCAAACCGACGACGTCACAGGTCAGGTCAAAGGTCGAATTTTCACCGCTTACAGCCATTTCAAGAAATGGGTTGTAAAATCGAGTAAAATGCATTTCATTGAAAATCATCGATGGGGAAATGTTCTTCAAACACATATTTTGCTATTTGAGGTCACTGATACCAGGTCAGGTCACAGAGGTCAGGTCACTGGGGGGGTCACAATATGAAAGTGTCGTGTGATACACGTTTTATGGTCCATTTTACATGACAAATGCGATAATGTGGGTCAGACAGACTTTTGGGCCAGCTTAGGTCACGTTTTGGTCAAGGTCAGGTCAAGGTCAGGTGAAGGTCAGGTCAAATTGGGTCAAATTTCAAAGTTGATATTTTTGCATAAAATGGGTATCGATTCGATGCAGCTCGTCACGGGGAGTTCAATGGTGGTCTCCGTTTTGCGCTACCAGATCTAGAACTGCTAAAATTGAGTTCAAAAATTTGACGTCATCAATTTTTAAGTTTTTTCGCTATAACTTGGCCAAAAAAAGAGGTATCGATCTAAAAGTTGGTATGTATATCGAAGAGCGCAGGGACTATCACTTTATTCCGGTTTTTTTTCGAAATTCGAAATTTTTTTGGAATTTTTTTGAGTTTTTGTAAAAAAAATCATTTTTTATTTTTTGGGGTACAGATCCCTCAATTTTGAAAATCCGCGATAGTAGTGTGGTAGCGCTATCTTTTCTCTACACAACCACATAAAGAACTTTAAAATTGCTTGTTAACTGTAGAATTGGTGAGCGTTTCAAGATGTCATGTTTTTCGCTCATTTTTACTCGAACATGACCTCAGTTTGACCTCAATAACTCCTGACCTGAGGTGACCTGTGAATTGAAATTTTGTGTGAAGGTGTCAAATTAATGCTCGGTAAGGTACCCAAAATTTGGCCGCGCTGCGCGCCGCCGTTCTCTCGCTATTAAAGAAAAACCACAATGGGGCCAAAATTGCCCCCATCAGGGCGCGGGTTAAGTGCTGTCAAAAATAGCAAAATTAAGTTTTAGTCAATTTACCGTTGTGAGGGATGAGAGAACCCGTTGCGTGGGTCAGGAATGACGTCACTCAGGATCCGCCTCTGATTGGCTGGTGGGAGAGTGGCTGTATCTTCTATAGATGAACGTGAAACAAACCGTGGAATGAGTCGACCGGGAAATCTTATTAGGCACCCATATCCTCCCGTATCTGAGTCCTATATTTGGCCTTGATCTGAGTCATCATGGTTTATAGTGCGCTTTTCTTTAAAGGACGCTGGCTCCCAGTTCATTTTCGAAGCTCTCACGTGAGGTTTGGCAGCTTCAGCGTCTGGTCGATAATTTCGTACCGAAAAATATTCGATTTCAAATTGTGATAAGCACCCATAAATTGTACTGAAAAAAATTAACCATGATGACGTCGCTGGTGACAGCAAGCACCCAATGTCCGTACGATGTGTCGACAAATTTGGGGGAAACTTTGTTTTGGTTTGTTTTTCACTGTCGCCGAGGTTTAATCGAATTAACGGTTCCGTCTATGGTATTTATACGTTACATTGCAATACAAGCTCTACAGCATGACGTCACTACTGTTCTAATATCTAGTCCCAAAAATTGCACGTACCTATGGAAATTATCGGGAAAAAATTACATGTTAGAAAAATTCGACGTTCAATTTTCTCAGGTTCACTTTTTGCCCGTTTTTTTTTTCTCGCTAAAACACGTGCTTATTTGAAAACAAATTCACTTGGAGCCAAAGTCCTTAAAAAAACGAACTAGAGTATTTACCTACGGCACTAACAGAATCATCTGCATTAATATTTGCATACATGTCTGCTTGACAAATTTTATCTTATGTTCACCGTTTGCACGTGCCGTCTTATCTAATGACCGTCTGATCTAACGACTGCGTTTGTGTTACAGGTCTATCTCCACTGCAATATATTGATATGAATTCTCCAAGAAACATGTATGTGGTTGGATTTTCCATTCTCATCGCATTGGTAAGAAAAAACAGGTACCCTCAGTTTTTTGTCAGCATATTCACATTGCAGATAATTCAACAAATGCACTGTATTGGCTACTCATCGTTCAAGCATTGGTGTAGGCACGAATATACCGGCTTCCGCTTCTTTTTTTGTGACCATTGCCTAAACCGTTTTAGGTTATTCCTGGCTATATTGAAAAGAACCCAGAGCTTCTGACCACGGGAATACCGACGCTGGACCACATGAGCTACGTGGTCCTATCGACTGCAATGTTCATGGCTGGAATAATATCTGCCATTCTTGATAACACTATTCCAGGTAATATCACCGTCAATAGATTGTTTGTATTTGCATTTTAGTCCTAATGCAATCTTTGCATCTTTGTATCTCGGCGCATTTTATATCCTCAAGCTAACTTTTGAAGAAAAAATACACGCGCCAGTTCCATAATCATTCAGATATACTGATCCAACCTGCAAGGGGTTTGAAGTTTATGCAATCCGTATATGCTATCAGGCGGGCGACCGTTTTGTCAAAAGAACACTGAATAGGGCCGTGTTCTGCTTCAGGTACTGACCGGAAGCGTGTTTTACCCGTCAGGCACTGACCAGAAGCGTGTTTTACCCGTCAGGCACTGATCAGTAGCGTGTTTTGCCAGTCAGGTACTGACCAGGAGCGTGTTTTACCGGTCAGATACTGATAAGGAGCGTGTTTTACCGGTCAGCTACTGATAAGGAGCGTGTTTTACCCGTCAGGTACTGACCAGGAGCGTGTTTTACCCGTCAGGTACTGACAAGGAGCGTGTTTTACCCGTCAGGTACTGACAAGGAGCGTGTTTTACCCGTCAGGTACTGACAAGGAGCGTGTTTTGCTCGTCAGGTACTGATAAGGAGCGTGTTTTACCCGTCAGGTACTGATAAGGAGCGTGTTTTACCCGTCAGGCACTGATCAGTAGCGTGTTTTGCCAGTCAGGTACTGACCAGGAGCGTGTTTTACCGGTCAGATACTGATAAGGAGCGTGTTTTACCGGTCAGCTACTGATAAGGAGCGTGTTTTACCCGTCAGGTACTGACCAGGAGCGTGTTTCACCCACGGACGTATAATTAAACTGGACCCGCAACCACCTCCATTCAGGTGAAGCCGACAAGGCGCCATTTTACGTTGCCAAAAACCCGTGCTCTGAAAGGTCATCGAACCATTACAATTGGAATTGCGTCTAAACGGATGATCTAATCGAGATACTGGTGGTACCGTTCGATGGGTAATGCTTTGAGGCAGGTGATGATGCATGTCACAGGTCATTCGGTGTCACGTGGCGCGTGCCACGTGCCGACAAAGTCGGGAAGGGCAAAAACCTTTAAGCGACGCTCCAAATTAAACGGTGGGCGGCACAGGTGCAAAATTCACAGGTCACATGTCCCGGTGTTTGACCATTAACATATGGTATGCTCGGCAGCAGGCGGTGCGGAATGCACGCGCCAGGGGCGAAAAACATGTTTTGAGGATGCATCCTCCGATTCCGGAAAACCTTGACCTAGGCACACCAAATTTGGCACACTGACACTACTGGACACGCGCTTTAAGGTGCTGTATAAATAGGCGTGCTTGGGTACACGGTGCACGTGCTGTGCACGTGCAAACCTTTTGATGTTGCACTCTGCACACATGCGGGTAGGGCGGGTAGCGCTGGCAAGCTCAAAGTGCCAAATTTACACAGGCCACCCAGAATGCATTCCAGCATAGTAATTTAGCATATCTATCTCCTGGTGGACCCCAAAGGTGCGCTCTGCACGTGCAAAAAATTATCCGCGCCGGGCGGTGGGGATGCTTGGACACCCCATGTAGGTTTATGTAAATATCTCGAAAACAACGTTGTGGAGCGCCGCCGTTTTTAGCATACTCTTTCAAGTGCATCTTTTTCACACATGCTGCATAACTTTCAGACCCAGGTCACTCAAAGTTAGGTCACCAGGTTACGTCCAAGTGGCCTTACCTTAGGAAAAGTTATAATGCCCGTCATAGCTACACAGACTGAACAATCGGTCTAAAACGTTGGCGGCGATTACTAAGAGCACCATATAGGTATACGTGAAGTATCTTATCCATAGTAAAGTATCTTATCCATAGTAAAGTAGCTTATCCATAGTAGGTGTCAACCACCACTGATGGCGTCGTAACATGTTACGAAGGCACTAAAACTATAACTTCTTAAATGTTAAACTGAATGCTAAATTCGAAATCAGCTCCAAAAACTGTCCTAGAAACATGTAAAACTCGAAAAGGTGAACCAAGGTCATTAAAGGTCAGTGACCTTGACCTAATTTTCACGTGACCTTGACACCCACCATATTGCATGTGACCAACATCATATCACATGTTTGAACGCTTGAAACCACGAAAAGACATAGCATTCAGTTTACAGTTTGCATTTAGTTTTAGTTTTAGTGCCTTCGTAATATGTTACGACGCCTAAGTGGTGGTTGACACCTACATACTATGGATAAGCTACTTTGCTATGGATAAGATACTTTACTATGGCTAGGATACTTTACGTATACCTATCTAGTTATATGGTGCTCTTAGGAATCACCGCCAACGTTTTAGACCGATTGTTCAGTCTGTGTAGCTATGACGGGCATTATAACTTTTCCTAAGGTAAGGCTACTTGGACGTAACCTGGTGACCTAACCTTGAGTGACCTGGGTCCGAAAGTTATGCAGCATGTGTGAAAAAGATGCATGAAAGGGTGTGCTAAAAACGGCGGCGCTCCACAACGCCGTTTTCGAGATATTTGCATAAACCTACATGGGGTGTCCAAGCATCCCCACCGCCCGGCGCGGATAATTTTTTTGCACGTGCAGAGCGCACCTTTGGGGTTCACCAGCAGATAGATATGCTAAATTACTATGCTGGAATGCATTCTGGGTGGCCTGTGTAAATTTGGCACTTTGAGCTTGCCAGCGCTACCCGCCCTACCCGCATGTGTGACACAGAGTGCAACATCAAAAGGTTTGCACGTGCACAGCACGTGCACCGTGTACCCAGGCACGCCTATTTATACAGCACCTTAAAGCGCGTGTCCAGTAGTGTCAGTGTGCCAAATTTGGTGTGCCCAGGTCAAGGTTTTCCGGAATCGGAGGATGCATCCTCAAAACATGTTTTTCGCCCCTGGCGCGTGCATTCCGCACCGCCTGCTGCCGAGCATACCATATGTTAATGGTCAAACACCGGGACATGTGACCTGTGAATTTTGCACCTGTGCCGCCCACCGTTTAATTTGGAGCGTCGCTTAAAGGTTTTTGCCCTTCCCGACTTTGTCGGCACGTGGCACGCGCCACGTGACACCGAATGACCTGTGACATGCATCATCACCTGCCTCAAAGCATTACCCATCGAACGGTACCACCAGTATCTCGATTAGATCATCCGTTTAGACGCAATTCCAATTGTAATGGTTCGATGACCTTTCAGAGCACGGGTTTTTGGCAACGTAAAATGGCGCCTTGTCGGCTTCACTATCTTCCATAGGAGGTCCATTGGGATCGTCAGTCCAGTTTATTTATACGTCCGTGGTTTCACCCGTCAGGCACTGATAAGGAGCGCGGGGTGGACCGGTGGCGAGCCCTGACAGCGGGAGCCGCCGCGGGAGCCGACAGGGACCCCACATACCGCCTGCCCTGGGGCATGCACCTCCTCGAAAGGTGACTGGCATGACACATTAACATAAGGCTCTTAATTTCTATGTATGTATGTTTGTACATTTGCATGCATAAATACATTGCTATAAATGTATTCTAACTACCCAGCAAACATGCCGACGTCGGCCCGACGTCGGCCGACGTCGGGCCGTGACGTCGGCAACTCGGCATCGGCATGCCGACGTCGGCCCGACGTCGGTCCAACCTCGGCACGACGTCGGCTGGATGTCGGATATGCCCGCATGTACCGACGTCCAGCCGAGGTCCAGCCGACGTCGGGCCAACGTCGGACCGAGATCAATTGCTAAGGTCCAGCCGACGTCGGGCCGACGTCGGACCGAGATCAATTGCTGAGGTCCAGCCGACGTCGGGGCGACGTCGGACCGACATCTGCCGCTGTTTTGACCGTTAAAATAATATAAAATACATGTTTCATGTTTCATAAAGAGCTTCTGTATTCAAAATATCCTCAGGAAACTCAAATCTTCCTCCACGCCGCAACCCCCTGATCCAGACTGGACGGGAAACTTTATCCCATTTGGGATTACCCGTAAACCGAGCTCGCCCGTAGCCGGGTGCGGTGAGTGCTTGGGGGCTGCTCGGCCTATCCTTTGGTCAGGCTCAGCCCCGGCAACTCACCAGGGCCGGGCCCAGTTCATATAGAAAGGCCAGTCGGCAAGTATCACTTTGCCAAAGTGTCAATCTCGGCAAACGACCTCGGCCCGACGTCGGCTGGACTTCGGCTGGACGTCGGAACATGCGGGCATATCCGACGTCCAGCCGATGTCGGGCCGAGTTTGAACCGACGTTGGGCCGACGTCGGGCCGAGCCTCGGCCCGACGTCGGGCCGACGTCGGCATGTTTACTGGGTATGTATCGCTCTGCCCTCGTGCCCAGATGGCGGTGGACCCGCCTGCTGCCCTTCAGCCCCACCTTCGAGGGTTTCCCAGAGCTGGGAGACACGAATTGCTGCCGCCGGCCACGCTCCCGACAGTGCAGCGTCGAACTAAAGAAGGCTGCGGCCATCAGTCCCGCCTAGGTGAGGGCGGAGAGGGTCACTACGTGAGGGGAGGCGTGGAGCCGTGGAGAGGTGTGACAACTTGTGAGAAAGGAGTGTCGGAAAATGGTGTACGCGCCTGCAAAACCGACTGTGATCCTGCATGATGCCTGTCGGTGCCTTAAGGAAGGGCAGGTAGTGCCGCATGGATGGCGTCAAACCAGGCATGTGACCCCTGTTAGATGCGTTGAGGAATTAAAGACTGTGCTGTATGCTGCATAATGTATATAACAGACTTGTGATCAGCTCAGTTGAGCCGGCTCAAAAATCAGCTCAGCTCATGAGCCGGCTCAACATTTTGCCAAATTGTTGAGCTGTGAGCTGAGCCGGCTCTGTAATGCATTGAGCTGAGCTGCTGTCTGAGCTGAGCTGAATGAGCTTGAGCTGAGCTGAGCTGAATGAGCTTGAGCTGAGCTGAGCTGAGCTGAGCTGAGCGAGCTGAGCTGAGCTGATTGAGCTGAGCGAGCTGAGCTGAGCTGAGCTGAGCTGAGCTGAGCTGATTGAGCTGAGCTGAGCTGATTGAGCTGAGCTGAGCTGATTGAGCTGAGCTGAGCTGAGCTGATTGAGCTGAGCTGAGCTGAGCTGAGCTGAGCTGATTGAGCTGAGCTGATTTAGCTGAGCTGAGCTGATCCAGTTCTAATTCTTTTCAGTTCATGCTTGGAAATTAACTCAGGATTTGATGCTTCAGCTATGAGCTAGCTATGGAGTGAGCAATTACACTGCCTTCGTGATCGCACTTAAAAATATCAAAACTCTAAAGAAATCAATATTAATCACTAATCAAGCTTAATTTATTTCATCCATGTTGCATGGAAATTGGAAGACCAGGGTCTTGGCCAATTTACAGGCTAATACAGCCAGTCTCAAGTTTCAAGTCTGACTGCAAGATGAATACCTACTGTCAGGCTTTGATGCTTCGCCTTGACACTCTGCTCCGCAATGTACAATTCAGCATTCTTCACTTTGTTATTTAAGCAGTTATTTAAATTGATTTTATCGATAAGGGTTCTTACCTCTGCATAAAATATTTACAATTAGGAATTAGCAAATGTTCCTCTTCGTTGGTTGAATGTGGGCTAAGCAACCATATCCTATTGAAAGTGGGGTGGGGCAGAGGCGCTAACTGGAACTCTCACCTTCTGATGTCCATAATATGGGAAAAGCTCCCTTATTCACACGCCGACTATGAATTCTAATTGTGTTGACATTGCCTTGGTTGAGATCAGGGTGGTGTTTGGTTTCACTCAAGGTTTCACTGATAACAGCACGCTGCTATCACACGTGTCAAATGGGGTTTCCATGGAGATATAAACAAACTCTTATCTCCAAGTTCCAACACTACCCCAAAATGTAACGTCAGCTCCTGGCAGGGTGCCAAGAGCGGATGGCGGCGTGGGCGTGCTGCTCTCGGCCGTGAAACACCGCCTAGTTGAGATGATTCCATGGCGTTTTTTTCGTCTAGCAGATTTTCGTCCGACTTTTCTTCGTCTGGCATTTTTTCGTCTGTACATTTTTTCGTCTGTAAACTTTTTCGTCCAGACTTTTTTCGTTCGTATATTTTGAACTTATATGTTATGTTAACATCGCGGGTGCACACTCTGATAACATGTGATAACACTGCCAAGAACAGTCCATTTCATGTAACTATAGTCTGAGTCCAAGTAGACGCACGACTCGCAAAGTCTCAAGGTCTTAATGAGCTTATCTCTTTTGCCCATTGTGTAAGTTGCCTCGCTCCTTGTTAGAGGAGACTTACTTATGCGCCAAGAGTTGGTCTGTTTTTTAACCCTCGCCCGTATTGGTGTTTTTCCAGCCGCGAACGTATAAGGGGGCGGGGGTCCGTTGGACCCCCCCTTGCCGTTTCGTCCCTGATCGAGCTAGAGCTTCGCGGAAAAAACGAGCGTGCTGCCCGCGACGAGAGGAAGCCGATGATACCCAATTTTAACACGCGCACTGCAGCGGGTCTGAGCCGAACACGAACTGCAGGGGGGGGGGGGGGGTTGAAAACAACCCCCCCTGAGATCTCGAAAACGGCGCAACGTAGCGACAAGCGGTAGACGGCGTTGGATAGGTTGAGATGAGATCTACAAGAAATACTAAGATCATTTTTGGGTCAGGTCAAAAACGAGGTCACCAGAGGTCACCGAAGACAAAATGTTACGATTTTCACAACAGGAATTTCGCGGTAGTTTTTCTTGAATAACTTGTCTTGCACACAAGACAGAGGATCGATTCGAACGCCATCGTTCTTAGCTTGTCAAGGCGCATCGAATGATATATAATATGACCTCGAAAGGTCAAGTTGAAAATTTGACCTCAGGTCAAGGTCATGACCTGACTGAAATAGGTCATGTTGCATATCATTCGATCCGCATTGACGAGAAAAACACGATAAACGTCGAACGGAGTCTCTATCTCTATTCAATCTCAAGTTATTGAAGAAAAACCGCTGGTGACCTCAGGTGACCTAAGATGACCTGGAGATCACCTTCCAAAGGTCATAAGTGATATGTTTCGGTGAAATCACCAACAGGGACATGTAATCCTATGATCCTGAGCGTATTGAAGTCATAGGATGGCATTCAGAGTAAGTTGAAATTTCTCCCATTGACTTATAATGGGTCGGTCGCAAAAATGACCTGACCTTAGGTCATCGATATAAAAATTCCGAGATACACAAGTTGTAGCTCGTGATGACTTTACTATTTCCTGTGGGTTTCAAGATCATATCTCAACAACTGTGGGCTTGGTGGGATTGCAAACTTCGAAATTTACGTTTCGAGGTAGGGTCACTTGACCTGACCTGGTGACCTGACCATAGGTCACCTGGGGTCAAAATTTTTACTCAAGGTGTGCAAAAGTTGGGAGAACAGGTATGCAAAATTTGGCGGCGCTACGCGCCGCCGTTTTCTCGCGATTTACGAAAAACCACAGGGGGGGGGGGTTGAAAACAACCCCCCCCCTGCAGTGCGCGTGTTAAGGTCCTAGGTTATCGGTTGACCTTCCAGGTCAGGTCAATGACCCAAAAGTCGGGAAAATCGGGACCTGTTAGAACGTCGTAAAACGTGGCTGCTATGGGTTTTTTCGGGGTGCTGATCACGAATATCATGTTAGTTATGATCACTGATGATGTCTTTATGCATTGAGGCCAGGTCGGGTCAGGTCAGGTCAACCAGTAAGGATTTTGCCGGGTATTCGTAGTAGCCTCTGACAGCTTCGTAACATGTTACGAAGGCACCAAAACTGCTTCGTAAATGTTCAAATGGTTGCTAAATTCGAATTCAGCTCCAAAAACTAGCCTAGAAACATGTAAAACTCGAAAAAGTGAACCGAGGTCATCAAAGGTCAATGACCTGACCTGACCTTCCGGTGACCTTGACACCCACCCTAATGCATGGGAGCAACATCATATGCCATGTTTGAACACTTGAAACCACAAAAAGACTGCTAACGCGCGGCTAATGCGAGCCGACATACGCCGAATCGCGATTCCGGCCAAACATGGTCTCGAAAAGTAGGTCACAGGTCAAAGGTCATTAGGGTCAGGGTCATGAAATTTTCAGGATAGGTGTAAAATTGATTATCGCGAGGGTACTGAAAGTTTCGTCGCGATCGGCCGCTTTTTACGCGAGTTATTCGCGAAAAACAGAGGGGGGTCCGTTCGACCCCCCCCCCCCCCCTATACGGGCGAGGGTTAAGCATGTCCGATTTAAAAAGAACGACTGAGCGATCTAAGCGTGAATTTAACTGAGCGGAAACTGAGCTAAGCTGAATTGAGCGGAAACTGAGCTGAGCTAAACGGGAACTGAGCTGAGCTGAGCTGAGCGGAAACTGAGCTGAGCTGAGCGGAAACTGAGCTGAGCTGAGCGGAAACTGAGCTGAGCTGAGCGGAAACTGAGCTGAGCGGAAACTGAGCTGAGCTGAGCTGAGCGGAAACTGAGCTGAGCTGAGCTGAGCGGAAGCTGAGCTGAGCTGAGCTGAGCGGAAACTGAGCTGAGCTGAGCTGAGCGGAAACTGAGCTGAGCTGAGCTGAGCGGAAACTGAGCTGAGCTGAGCTGAGCGTGAGCGGAGCACAGCCGGTTTGAGCGGAGCGTGAGCTGAGCTGAGCCGTGTTAAACTGAGCGGGAGCTGAGCGGGAGCGGATAAAACGGAGTTGAGCTGAGCGAGCTCACTTTTTTCTTGAGCTGTCACAAGTCTGGTATATAACTACATAGGTATACTTGAATGCCAGCTATGTCAACGGCAAGGTTATTGCCTCTTAATTGTTAAATATAGCTATAGAGGCTATTTTATATGTTGTTCGTTTGATTTATATGTGCCTTGTGTCAATTGAAGGCGTAAATGTACAAGGGAAAAGCAAAAAGTCATGCTTAGCTTAAAATATCATACATATTTAAGAGCGCGCTGGCCACTTTTCTACCTGATCGCTCCAAAAGATTTTTCCGTATCAGTCGTAAGGCGGTTATGGGCAAACAACAACTTAATGACCGTGTGGATGTTTTTTTAATACATAGAACATACTGGAAGCGAATGGACCAGCTGTACACTGTACAGTACAAGTAGGTTATTCTATCAGTAGGTACTCATGATTCATGAGCATCCTGTCCCAGCTAACAATTTGCCGTTGTTACAACGTCGTTTAAACGTTGTCAAATGGTTACCACAACGTCCCGATTTATCGTTGTGACAACGTAATTTTGTAGACTCCAGACAACGGCGTGACAACGTCATCCGACCATGCATTTGAATGTCATCACAACGTTTCTGTAACGTGGCCGTGACGTCCCAAAACTGTTCTTACAACGTCCCGCCAACGTTATGAAATGTTTTCTGTAACGTACCAACAGTGTTTCTGGAACGTTGTCACCACGTTTCCGCAACGTGACTACAAGGAGTATAGTATAGAACGCTTTGGCAACGTCTCTGCGACGTTTTTATCACGTGCGCACCACGTTGTCGCTACTTCGCATTTCCGTCCCTGCGACCCTGAGTAAACGTCCTAAACATTTTCGCAACGCCCTCTCAACGTGTTCGCAACATACTCAGAATGTGTTTCCGACGCTCTCTTCCCGTTCTCTAGACTTGTAAAAAAGGCATGTAAGAAGTGTATATTTCAATACATCATACCACCTCAATTTACAACAAACAAACAAAACGACGGCGGCGGCATCGGTGATGGGGCATGGGGCCCAGGGGCGCCCCCATGGGGGCTTGGGACGGAATTGGGTTCTACCGGCTCTGACGCTAGCCGCTAGCACGCCAGAACTGGTGGAAGTTCACTTCTTAACTAACCCTCGCTGGGAGGATCACTCGGCGGACCGTTAGGCACCGGCTCATTTGCGGCCTCGATGTCCCTAGGCAGCTGGCAGTGCCTGACTAGACGGTCTGTGCACCCCCCGTTCCGGTCGCAGCTTCCGGACAGCCACTTCGCTACCGCATTGCCGACAGTAGGCCTGCCGCAAGGCGCGCTGACGAGTTGCAGGACGTCTGCGGGAAGACATGAGGGAAAATCAGACATTCAATTCATGAAAAAATCACAAAAATACCTGCACCACTTTCCGTAACAGTGCGACAGGCTAGATCAAACTGAAACATGTCAACACCTTAGAGGCTAGAGCTACAATGAACTATAGCCTAGACCGCACGATATTACAAGGCACAATCTTGCAAATGCTACTCGTAAATGGTACTTTGACTTACCAGTCAAAACAACAATCGCATCAAACGCAGACAACTGGCGCTATCTTTCATCTTCCAGCTATCTCAGCCGCGCCCGCCGCCGGCCCTCACTGCTCGCTCGCGCCGCGTAGACTGCGGCTCGGCCGGCTGGCTCTGAACGCCGGCCGGTGACACTGACGTCACGGCCCCTCAGGCGAGGTCAGGGCGCGAGCCACCGTTCGCCTGAGTGGCGGCCCGCGTGGCTTGCTGGCAGCCGCGGATAACAGCCGCGTTTACATAGGGATAGTTGCAAGCCTCTAGCTCCGCCTGTGATGTTGCAAAACATGCCAATGACACTTTGCAATTTACACATGTTACATACATATATATATATATATATATATATATATATATATATATATATATATATATATATATATATATATATATATATATATAGAGAGAGATAGAGAGAGAAAGGTATCAGAATTTACTTGTAAAAACACCGCTAATTATTCAGTACCTATAATGTCAAGGTTGTGAAAAACCGTTTTAACAACGTGTTGGCGACCACCAGCTGACAACGTGAACAGTCCAAGTGTTAAAATATGTCAAATTTAACGATGAAAACTGAATATGCGCATTGAAAGTCAAAGGAAGTGCATTATATGGCCATATATGTCACCATGCATTATCAAAATATAATGCTGCAAGTGCGCGGTTGCTGCAACGTACCAATAAAACGTTGTCACGACGTTTTACCACGACTTTCGGACCAAACCATGGCTTCACAACGTTCAGAACGTTGCTACAACGTAATTAAAACGTAATTTCGCAACTTACCGAAACACGACGTTGTGACAACGTTGTAGTAACGTTTCCTGTTAGCTGGGGTTTTCCAAGCCGTCCTTCTGAATCGTTGTATTTAGAATAAGGGCTAAGATTATGGTAATGGAAAGCAAGGGCTAGTATGTAGATTGATCAATATACGACATCGACATCGTAACGATTACGGATCGTGTCTTTTCCTTTAGGATACTGTAGCTGCGTTTAGCAGTGCTAAAATGAGCGAAAATGCCTAGATTTATGTGTCAAATGTACGAGTATGCGATGCATTGTACGAGTATGCGATGCGAGTATGCGATGCAGCCGTCAATCCGTCATCATGATTGCGGCGACTCGCCCAAGTTCAATTCATCTGGTGTTGTTTTTCTGGCTGGCTCAGGGAAGAGCAGGGGAGCTTTCCGTCCCTCCGTCCTCTGTCGTCGCGTTTGACAGGCCTCACCTCGAGGGAAATCAACAGTGCCTGTGTCTCCTCAGATCGGCATGGAGGCGATCGACAGATCTGTCAGCGCGATCTCTCTGCCCGTGCGATATCTCCCTGCACGCGCTATTTCGCTGGCCGCGCGATCTCTCTGACCGCATGATCTTTCGATCCGCTCAGCTCCTAAGCGGCCTTCTGCGTGGAGGGGGGGGGGGGGAGAATCCATGCCACAAAAATAGAAACACAAGAATGGCGGAAAAGGTTTCACTCGACTGAAAACCTTCTTATTCTTGCTGAACGCGGTTACCGCATGAGCTAATACATGCTTATTGCTCACTGCTCAGCGATCTGGCAGGGTGGGGAACATCGGCAGCGCCTGCCCTGTAGTGTCGCCGCTCACGGAGCTGTCCGGCGGATCAGAGGTGGCCGCTGACAGTCTGTCCCACCGGTGACCACCCGGCGGCGGTGGCAGCTGCGTCCCGCGGTACCCCGTCCCGGACAGTGACACCGCCGCGCCGGCCGCACCCCCGCGCCGTGACGCCGGTCGCAGACCGATGACGCCATTCGCAGACGGATGACGGCTCCGGCCGTCATCGTCGCTGGCAATCGGTAACCATTAGTGAGCGGCGGCGGCGGCGGCTGGCTGCTGCGGCTCATCACGCGACCGCTGGGGACAGCCCTCCCCTGCGGTCACTCATCCCCAGAGACCCTGCGGTCACTCATCCCCAGGGACACCCCTCCGCTGAAGACACCCTTGTCTTGTCACCTCATCCCTCCTCTGTGTTTCATATTAATTTTCATATTTGGCAGCCCTATCAGCAGACAGACTCGAGTTGTTCCGAGCTGTCAGGCGCGATTCTGCCTGTTCTGCTTTTTTCTCACTGTTGAACCGATCAAAAAAGTTGGCCATCGCCTTGCACAGATCACTCATGAAATATTGATACGCGGAGAGTGGGTTGGTTTCTCTCTGCAGCGTGTTCCGACGTCCGGTCAACAGCAAACACTCGGCGAAAAACGCGCCGTGTTCGACGGGCCGCGCTGACGAGCGCCGACAGCGCTCTGTCGATTCGCCGCGGCAGAACTGACGCGCCGTCGTTCGCCGCATTAGCGGCGCGGCGGCGTGTGTGGCGCAGTGGCGGCGCGCGGCGCGGAACGGGACACCCAGCGCGTGCGGAATGGCTCCGCCGGCGGACAGAGGCGGACGCGGGTGGAGCGCCGTGCCCCCGGGGGCAGAGCGAGGCTCACATTTCAGCTGATGGGAGCGCTAATTGGTGCCGCTCATGTGTCAGTCGGACAACGAATTGAATGCTGTAGCTTAACGATAGATAAACGAATGACAGATCTACCTCAATTTTTCTGTGAATTCGACTAACAGCAGGACGTGCCTACATATACATATGAAGCTTAAACAGAATTATCAAAATCACTGAAAGACGAAACAATAATGAATCTATGTGGCGCCCTCTTTTGCATAATAAATCATCAGCTTGCATCACAAAAAAATGTGACACGCAGTGTCAAACTGTGTAGGGACAAAGGTAAATGCCAATTGTGATATATTTCGATAAAATAGATTTAAAAAAAAATATTCGTATGTTCGTCGTCAATTCATGGGATTTAGTAAAGAGTCGCTTTGTTCCGCAAATGCCAGTCGTTATCCCGCTCAACTGCACGCTCCATTCACCATCCATCCACCATCCATCCATTAACGTTGCACGCTCCATTCACTTGCACCGTGCACCGTGCTGCGCTGGTGACACTCGCCGTGTGCCCACACATGCGAGCTATGCCGGCTATGCTGCCGCCGGAACAGGGTCGTTTCCGACGAGTCGCAGTATGTCCTACTGCATGGCCATCCGGCGAGCCTCGCCCCGCCGCGCGGGACCGAGTCAGCCCGAAAACACGCGGCCCAAAACGGCCCGCCCGCGGGGTTCCGTCATGTCGGCACCGTTTGCATTTTTAGGCATCCAATGACGAGCGTTCGCACATCAAAATATTATGCAGGAAAATAGAGGTATGCCGCCAGATGCTTGTTTCTTCAAATTATCTCCAGTGACGCCTTCCGAGCATTTTGGCGGCACAACAGATTTTGAGCCAAACGATGTTTATTTCAAAGCATCTCCATAAACAGGCATGGGTAGAATCAAAAGATGAAATTAGACTGATGTGAATCGGAACAACGCGTGCCCCACACTTAGCCCACACCCAAAGAGTGTTTGTCACTCTCGACGGAAGTGAACCTCCACCATCCAGCACCCCGCAGCCTCGTGAAGCTCGTGAAGCTGCTACTCTGTGCCGCCGCCTATGGTTGATAACAAGCAGTAAAACTTCAATGTGCATGTACTCGTCACTCGTGCTCCTAACTCATCCCCCGTGCAATCGCGCAGCCTTAGTTCACACTGGCTCCTCCGTGTCCTGTTGCTGGAGCGCCTCGGCCACTGCTATGGCCCTGCTGATGAGACACTGCTCCGGCGCCGTCTCACTCCAGCAGTTGATGAAGGCGTCCAGGTCGGTCTGTGGACAGTCTAGGGTGTATCGTCGAATTTTGATTTTTTTTAATCGTGTTCACTACTAAATTTTATTGGTCCCTGGCATGTTTGAAGCCGTAGGATACCAGTCAAAAAAATCTGGGACGAAAACCTAGCCTGCTGCGAGCGGTTGAACGGAAGCCTGTCGGGGCGGCGCCAGGCGTTGAAGTCTCCCCGTTAGTTACGCGCACACTAGCACCACGCAGCGGCTGGCGCCGTGCCGCCGCGTTCCCGGTCAGCCGTGTTTTAGCGTTCACTGACGGGTCGAGGTGATTATTCTAAGCTTTCCTAAGAAGCTTTCTGCCCCGCAGCTCATTATTGAGCAAGAATATCGCACAAACTGCATAGAACATTGACATGCAGGTTGTCGGCACATCGGAGAAGGGGATGCTTTGGTTAATGCCTCCTTTAATAGGAAGAGATTGTGGAAGAACAACACATTTCTTTTGGAAATTACTCATCCTCCTTCTTCCTACGTGCCTGCTTTAGTAATCGAAGTACCCCTATTGACTCTACGTTCTTGATTCGGCTGTGGATTTTATGCATGGAATTCCGCTATATTATATTTTCTCGCTAAATGTCTCCTGAGCTATATTGAGGCGTCACGGGACAGCAATGCTCAGCACACAACCGCAGAGAAAAAGTCAATGTGGCCATGCGTTTTGTATGCCAAAATGTGTGAGCCTTGGTGGGTACCAGCAGCCGTTGTCACCATTGTAATTTTCACGACTTTATCTTTATAAGGATGCAATTTTCCACTTCCTAGTTCCCAGACTGGGTTTGGAGATATTATAGTTTTACAGAAACATTTGGGAATGTCTGTAATGTAAGTTAAAGCGAATACCGAAAGGAATCCACATATTTTCGATTTCCTGTATGCTGTATTGCTTACGTCATGCCAGACGTCATGATGGCATGGTTGCGATTGATGGTATGTCGGATGGTCAGGGTACGAACTCACGGTAAGTCAGCTTGGCTGGCAGGCATCAACAGGCACAATACTCTTACACTGATATCGTCACCCTCAGTTATTCGTCACCATTCAGCAGCAGGCCCAGAGCTTCGGGCTTTGAAACGTAAGGTACAGGTGTAGGAGCAAGACATTGCGCCGATTCGAAGGGCTGGAAGGGCAGCATCGCGGGGGCTGGAATGCGCCTGAGCGGCTGAGACCATCCCATTGGGACGGGGGTGTTCTGAGTGCACTCAGCCGCTCATGCTGGGAAATGCATCCAATGGAGCTCTCCCCCCATCCCCCCGTTTCGAATGATTAGGGTGACCTTTAGTCTAGAACAAGGCAGGATGACTGTTGGCTGGTCCCGAGGATAGATACAAAGGACAGGTAATGACATCATATAATGAATCGAAGACGGCCCCGGTCCGATCCTCTGATAGAGGTTCAACACGTATCCCGTTGTGGACCATTTCGTTTTCCTCCACCGTAGTTTTTGCACCGACCTGAACGGGTTGGAAGGTAACGATGTTCAGAAACCATTAAGATCGTAATTGTATATTCGTTGTATATTCGTTCACTGAACAGGTAGGACAGGTTCAACACAGTCAAAACCTCATCCTATCATCCAATAATTATAAAGTAGTCTTCATGGAATGGAAAGGCTAACCTAACTCAACGAATATACAATTACGACCTTAATGGTTTCTGAACATCGTAATCTTCCAACCCGTTGAGGTCGGTGCAAACACCACGGTGGAGGAAAACGAAATGGTCCACAACGAGATACGTGTTGATGAGCCTCTATCAGAGGATCGGGCCGGGGCCGTCTTCGATTCATTATATGATGTCATTACCTGTCCTTTCTATCCTCGGGACCAGCCAACCACCATCCTTCTTTGTTCTAGACTAAAGGTCAGTCTAATCATTCGAAACGGGTGGGGATGGGGTAGAGCTCCATTGGATGCATTTCCCAGCATGAGCGGCTGAGTGCACCCAGAACACCCCCGTCCCAATGGGATGGTCTCAGCCGCTCAGGCGCATTCCAGCCCCCGCGATGCTGCCCTTCCAGCCCTTCGAATCGGCACAATGTCTTGCTCCTACACCTGTGCCTTACGGTTCAAAGCCCGAAGCTCTGGGCCTGCTGCTGAATGGTGACGAATAACTGAGGGTGACGATATCAGTGTAAGACTATTGTGCCTGTTGATGCCTGCCGGCCAAGCTGACTTACCGTGAGTTCGTACCCTGGCCATCCGGCATACCATCAATCGCAACCATGCCATCATGACGTCTGGCATTTACTAAGCAATACAGCAAACAGGAAATTCGAAAATATGTGGATTCCTTTCGGTATTAGCTTTTAACTTACATTACAGACATTCCTAAATGTTTCTGTAAAACTATATCTCCAAACCCAGTCTGGGAACTGGGAAGTGGGCAATTGCATCCTTATAAAAATAAAGTCGTGAAAATTACAATGGTGACAACGGCTGCTGGTACACGCCAAGGCTCACACATTTTGACATACAAAACGCATGACCACATTGACTTTTTCTCTGCAGTTGTGAGCTGAGCATTGCTGTCCCGTGACGCCTCAATATAGCTCAGGGGACATTGAGCGAGAAAATATAATATAGCGGAATTCCATGCATAAAATCGACAGCCGAATCAAGAACGTAGAGTCAATAGGGGTACTTCGATTACTAAAGCAGGCACGTAGGAAGGAGGATGAGTAATTTCCAAAAGAAATGTGTTGTTCTTCCACAATCTCTTCCTATTAAAGGAGGCATTAACCAAAACATCCCCCTTCTCCTATGTGCCGACAACCTGCATGTCAATGTTCTATGCAGTTTGTGCGATATTCTTGCTCAATAATGAGCTGCGGGGCAGAAAGCTTCTTAGGAAAGCTTAGAATAATCACCTCGACCCGTCAGTGAACGCTAAAACACGGCTGACCGGGAACGCGGCGGCACGGCTCCAGCCGCCGCGTGGTGCTAGTGTGCGCGTAACTAACGGGGAGACTTCAACGCCTGGCGCCGCCCCGACAGGCTTCCGTTCAACCGCTCGCAGCAGGCTAGGTTTTCGTCCCATATTTTTTTGATTGGTATCCTACGGCTTCAAACATGCCAGGGACCAATAAAATTTAGTAGTGAAGACGATTTAAAAAAATCAAAATTCGACGATACACCCTAGGACACGCTTCCAGGATGTCCAGGAGGGTGTCGCTGTCACCCATCTCGGAGATGGCCGTCTCCAGCTGGGCGCGATCCACAGTGTCACCCTCGGCCAGCGAGACGTTCCTCATGGCACAGCCGGTGACGTCCACGGCAGCGGCCAGCAGCTCGGAGCAGTTGAGCGCGCCCCGCCGCCACCAGCCGCCGGGCAGCGAGCCGCCGGGCTCCTGCAGGCTCTCGAGCAGACAGCGGCGCCGGCTGCTCCACGGCAGCAGGTTGGCGAGCGAGCACCTCCGTCTGCGCAGCAGGCCACTTCTGGCGCGCCGGCACAGCGCGGCGTCCTCATCTTGGAGCGCGCAGTCGAGCTTGAGTCTCCCTTTGATGCAGGCCAGGAGGAACACGGGCTGCTGCTCGGCGGTCAGTTCCTCGGGCAGGGCGCCCAAACACGCGCTGGAGCTGGTTTGCCAAAGACTGATCAAATCAGTATCACTGGTGAGGCTCTCAATGGCAGCGTCTAGAGATTCTTGGCTGTTTTCAATGGTTAGGCTGCAAAGTAAAACGGGATGAATAATGTTTTCGATAATATGTTTATCCGCCTATCAGCCTAATGTGTTACCTCGCAACAACAGTCAACAGCATTTACTAAGCACGACTGTTTCCGCTTCCGCAGAGGAGATAACACCGTGCACCACGTCAGCCATGAATATGTCTGCATTTTGCAACACCTTCTATCGATACCCGATCATGCTTATTCGTCACAAAGGTTTTGAAAAAGGAAAAAGAAACGACAAACGTAAATGAATCGTTGGGATGCATAACGAAACTTACTTGTTAGCAACACATCCATACAGAGCTGCCTTCCACGCCAGCCATGCGCCGCGGCCGCGCTGGCCACCCATCAGGGAATCACGGCACTGGCGCACTATGGCACAAACGGCCTCCACCGTCGCGCCATCGTCATCAGGCGCGCACGTGCGGGGCACCAGGAACCGACTGAAGCGGCCACCGCCTCGACTGCCACCGTGAGCTGAGGAGGACACAGAAACATGAGCGGGGACTCACTAAGGAGGCGCGTGAGATTCACTTATTCATATTGATCGGGCCTTCTCATAAAATGGCACGTTACTACTGCTCTTGATGTATATTTTTCTTTATGCAAAATGCGCCATTAAAATATTTTTTACCCGTGCATTACAATCATCAGTTTACTCGAGGTTCGAGCCTACGACATAGCAGCTGTGATAAAATCAAATCACTTAGGACAGAATCTACAACTGTTTCAATGAAGAGAGGGAAGCGGAAAGATTATCTTTAACTACGAGGTGTGGCTAAAAAGAAACCGGACTGCTCATTCTGGCCATAAAGTAGGGGGCCGGAAGACTAGCGAGACAGTTGACATTAATATTTATCATATTGTCGTGATGTGTGCCAAACTGCATCCCGATATCGCTATTATTCTCCTTTCCACAGCTTTTTGTTTTATTGATGACGCTGACGCTGGTCATTCTGGTCTGGATGTCGTCGACCGATTCAAAATGGGTTTCCTTGACAACGTTTTTCATTTTAGGGACTAGAGCCAAAAGTCACAGGGAGGGAGTTTGGCGAGTAAATAGGGTGCTTGTGCACCGTGACCTGCTTTTCGCCAAAAAAAAACTGCTTGACGCTAATGGCAGAATGCGCGGGCGCGTTGTCGTGATGCAGCACCCGGTTCTTGGCTTCCCAGAAATTCCACTTGGTGCGTCTGACTCGTGAGATGAGGCGTCCCAGGTCTTCCTTGTAGAAGTGCTGGTCGACTGTGGTGCACATCCGGCACGAACTGTCGGTGAACGAATCCCCTATGGTCTAAAAAGACGATCAATGTCGTCACCACCCTCGAATTCGACATGCGCGCGGACGTTGATGGACCTCCAGACCTTGGGGTCATTACCGACATCCTCACGACCAGTGCTGAACCTCCTATGCCATTCAAGCACTTGCATGTGACACATGACTTGCTCCCCATAAACAGCCTTGAACAGATTCAGCGTCTCTGTTGGACTTTTCTCCAGTCTGGTAAGGAACGTGATGTTCCTTCTTTTCTTCGACGCTCATTGTAGAAGCCTGGCGGTGACAAGGCCGTCAAACATCAATAAAACAAAGAGCTGTGGAAGGGAGAATAATAGCGATATCGAGATGCCGTTTGGCACACATCACGACAATATGATAAAGATTAATGTCAACTGTCTCGCTAGTCTTCGGGCCCCCTACTTCATGGCCAGCACGAGCAGTCCGGTTTCTTTTTAGCCACACCTCGTACATATTTAACCAATAAGTTTCCTAACTTTTCACATATACTTGGCTTCGCGTAAAAATTAGCAGATAGAGACGAAGCATTTACAGCCCTCGAGTTGCTCAATTTTACACGTACCCTAAAAAGTAATAGTCCTGAATTAAACGACCTTTGACCTGTGACCTCCCCCTTGAGACAATACCAGGCCAAAATGGCAATTCAACGCTGTTTGTGCTAGAGCACTTCATGGGCCGGATAAATCCGTTATCCACGGATAAATCCGCGGACCGGATAGGATTGGATTCTAAATTTGTTAAAAAAGAACGGATATGGGCGGGCCGGATTTGGGAATTGAAGGTTGAACCCGGATCAAAACGGATCAAAATTTTAACATTCAACATTGAAGTTAAAAATTAACCTAATGTGTTAAGCGGCAGGATGATACCTAGTTTACCAATGTGGTGATTTTCATGTGGTTTTAGGTTTATAAGCATGGTTTTTGGAACCATGATGGTCTGTGAGATGTATGGCTGTCTGGTCCCTTAGATTGAATTTGTTAGTCCAGTTTTGGGTGAAACCAGTTATTGGTGAAACGGATTATTACGGATATTTTTTGGAAGTTTGGCTGCAATACGGGCCATGGGTGGGCCGGATTCTGATATTCAAAGAAAGGCGGATAATGGGCGGATCTGGATATGACTTGCCGGATATGGGCCGGGCCGGATCCTAAAAAGCCTATCCGTGAAGTGCTCTAGTTTGTGCCATGGTTTATGGTGGCTTTCAAGGTCCCGTGAGGGTCAGATCAAGGTCATTGCCCTTTGGAGACCTAGGTTGACCATTCAATTTTACTTACTTTAAAGGAAGTTTTTTAACTGATTTCTAACAAAGCACTCACTTACGCATTTCGAAACCAGTTTGTGAGCGCATGGGGCACATGTTGCGAAGCTTTCATTGGCGGTGAAAACCTTTCAAGAATTCCCAACCGGACGCCTGATAGTTGACCCGACCTAACCCGACGTATGTATGCCAAATGCACAAAGGCATCCTTATCGAGCAACATAAATGCTAAATTTAGAATCGTACCCCAAAATACGCTAGAAAGAGCTAGCGTATTTTGAAGTTCTAGTAGGACCTGATACCCCGACCCTGTGTTCATTGACCGCTTGGAAAGTCAACCAATGACCCGGGATCTCACACTTGGGTATAGAATTAGCTTCCCTCTTGTCGCGAGGACTTCACTCTTGATTTTCCGTGAAGCTTAAGCTCGATCAGGGACCGATCACCGACCGATTGGAGGTCTTAACAACCCCCTCCCCCTCCCCCCGTCGTGCACTGCGGCTGTGAAAACGTGCCAATACGGGCGATGGTTGAAATTAGGCATAGCCAAAACCTGAATCTATGAACTGCCCAATATGGCACGCAAAGGTACTCGCCATGAGTCCAGCCCAGCAGCAGAGCCGCCACCAGGAGCCGCCCGGCGAGGCCGCTGTGCAGTGTCGCCATGCCGCCGTGACGTTCTCTGACTGCCTGGAGAGGAGTGCCGAGCTGTGCTGCGTGTGAGGGCCGCGCTCCGCTGCAACTGTGCGCTGCCGCAGCCGCTGGGTGTGCGGCAGACTCACACAGGCCTCCGCAGCTCGGGACCGACGCGACGGGCGCGGCTCGGCAGCTAGCCATTGTGCTACATGAAACGGGCATTTTTGTGCTGCTATTGCAGATGCTTATGTAATTGGTCAGCGCCGTCGAAAAAAAAAACGGAAGCTCCCAGGTGGAAAGATTCGTCACCATATCGCTGCATTTTTCAATGGCCGTGTCTAGGTGTTCAATCTATGTACGAAGCGGGACTGCTGGATTTAAAAGCCCTGCTGAGGGTAGGGGATGTTTGAATATAGTGACGTAAGTGACGTTTGAAAGAGCGTTAAAATTCATGAAGGAATTGCTTCAGTCATTCTAGGTCACGTAACTCCAGTCTCTAGGAATATAAGGACATCGATGATCGAGCCAACTTTTACGCACTCCTGTGCTGTCAAAAGATGCAGAATGGCCACTAATTGCACTGCACTGAAAACAATTGAAACCGAGGCCGGCAAGTAAACATGTGCCCATCTGCCACTACCATTTTTAACACTCGCCGGACCTATTGGTTTTCTACATACATACCCCTCGGCCGGCGCGGCCGAGGGGAGGCGGATACGAACCCCCCCCCCTCGCCGTTTCGCCCCTGGTAGAGCTAGCGGGTCGCGGAAAAAAACGAGCGTGTGCGCCGTTACGAGACGCAAAGATTGATACCCGATTGTTAGGTCCTAGGTCGGCCGGTGTCCTCTGAGGCCAGGTCAAGTACGCCAAGGTACGGCTCCGTTTTTTGGTGAATAACTTCGCAAAAAACGGCCGCAGAGCCGCGATTTTGGCAGCATCTTGTTTGCCTCGCTCAGGCGCGTCGAATGATTTAGTTTTTGTTTGGGTGAGGTCATCTTAGGGTGTTGACCACGGGTCACCGTCAGGTCAGCGCCCCCAGGTCACGAAATTGGTCAAAGGGGTCATGTTGCATATCATTTGACCCCGCAGGTCTTCCTGAGTCAATTGATGGCTTTCCCGACTCGGCAGCTCAATTTGATTGGGAGTTATTGACAAAAAAATAATATGACCCCAATGACGTCATAAATGACGTCACATGAAAGGTCCCCAGCAGTTTTTTTTTACAACAACAATAACATCTAGCATGTCTTAACCCGCGCCCCACTGGGGTCTGCGTATAACGCGTCCTACTAGGGGAGGGCTATTCATTGCCCCCCTCCTAACTTCGAAACTACTGGGCCGATCGTCAAAATTCAAACGGCTTGTGATAGCCCCGTAAAAACTGTTACTTGAAACTTAATTTTATTGACCTCAATGTCACCGATAACGTCACAGGTCAGGTCAAAATAAAAATTATTGATGTTTGGCTTGTTCACATTTTGGGCTCTAGCCGCCGTCGCCCTCGCCGGACCTATTGGTTTTCTACATACGCGCCGGCCGAGGGGGGGGGGGGGTACGACCCCCCCCCACGCCGTTTCGCCCCTGGTGGAGCTAGCGCGTCGCGGAAAAAACGAGCGTGTGCGCCGTTACGAGACGCAGAGATTGGTACCCGATTTTAAGGTCCTAGGTCAACCGGTGACCTCTGAGGTCAGGTCAAGTGCCCCAGGGTACGGTTCAGTTTTTGGTGAATAACTTCGCAAAAAACGGCCGCAGAGCGCCGATTTTGGCAGCATTGTGTTCGCCTCGCTCAGGCGCGTCGAATGATATACCTTTTGTCCGGGTCAGGTCAACTTGGGGTTTTGACCTCAGGTCAAGGTCAGGTCAGCACCTCCAGGTCACGAAATTGGTCGAAAGAGGTCATGTCGCATATCATTCGATTCGGCAGGCCTTCCTGAGTCCATTGGTGCCTTTCCCGACTCGCTAGCTCAATTTGATCAAGAGTTATTGACGAAAAACTAATTTGACCTTGATGACGTCATAAATGACGTCACGCAAGGTCAACATTGCAAAAGTGACGCATCTAACCTTGCAAGGAGTGCATAAAATCACGATTCTGTGTGCTTGAGATAGTTGGAGATCGTTCCCGGCGCCAGAATAGCAGTTTGAATTTTTCCCCATTGACTTATAATGGTGAGGTCACGAAAATGACCTGACCTCATATGACCTTTAGGAAAAATCCGAGATATACAAGTTGTGGGACTCATAATGGATACTAGATCCTGCAAGTTTCATTTCCCTGTGACATCTCCTCTGGCAGTGAGGGCGTTGCGAAGTTGCGACATCTGAAGACCGTGCAGAGGTTCACTTATGACG